GATTATTTAGTATAGACTAGTGTAACCCGTGCCTATGGCCGGGACTTCACTATCGCAGTTGAAATGCAAAAGTATAAACTCGCCTATTATATATTCTCATATTCGAAAGCACGCATTAAATTTTTGTAGTTAAACTTAAAACGTAGGACATAAGGTAAGAGTTTAAGTAAAAAAATGCACTCACTCACTCACGTGACTAGCGGAATTATTTTGTGGCACGTGGTGTGTCACATGATCACATGAGCATCTAATCAGATCCCAATCTCAAAGTTAATTGGCAATTATAAGTTATAACACTTTGATGGTCCGGCTCGGTTTCGAACTTGTAACCTCTGGCTTAGCCCGGTTCATAAAACAAAAATATTATCCAATAATTGCGGCAATAGGCTTATCTGTTGTTCCTTAGGCCAAATAACTACCAAACAAATTTTGAAGCTTCAACTCCAACCGGAAACACCCCCACATGCCACGCCCATTTTTTTCATCAATTTTTAACAGGTAAAAATCTTCATATCATCAATTTAGGCACGAAGGAGTGCTTTAAGTGCTCCAACAGTTTGGGGTCTAATAGTAATGGTAGAAAAAGGTTAACTTTAGTCAAAGTCTCAAGTCCCCACGGCGCTTGGTTTAGGCGCACTGGATCTCGCATCTCGCGCCTCCGCCGCGAGATTTGTTGCGCCAAAACTAAAGGTCGTAGAGACATGAGACTTCGACTAAAGTTAACCTTTTTCTACCATTACTATTTGAGTATCACAGTTCCAGAGCTCTAAACACATTCCTTCATCTTTAAAACAACAATCATATGGATTTTGCCTGTAAAAGTGGAACTAATCCTTTAAAATCATTTAAAGAAGTCAGCAGGTTATAATCTAGGTACCCTGGCTTTCGGATGCCTTCACAAGCAAGCTGTCTAATCTTCGTTGCCAGAGGAATATTTTCGTCAAACTAGGATTTAAATGAGGTTCTTATTTCTTCATAACTCGTTACTGATAGGATCAGCATCGATGAGGTCCAATAATTCCTTCATAGCTCGTCACTGACAGGGTAACCGATCACTTTTAATAAGGTCTGATGATTTCTTCGAGACTAACGAGGATACGTCAAGACAAAGTTTAACATTGTGGAAATTCAGTTGGGTTGACCTTTTTTTCCAAAAAAGGCTTTTTTTATACATTTTTTTTTTATACGTTCGACATTTTTCTGCATTTATTTTTGCTTCACGTTTTGCTATTTTTTAAAGATATCTGGGCACTTTGGTGCGCTTTAAACAGCGAATTTTTAATCTTTATTAGTCGTTCTCGAAATATATCCCTGAGTACAGCCAAATCGTACTATAAGTATACAGTCAGGGACCTCTGAGAGATGCCGGTCATGTGGTCAACTAAACGTCTAAGTTCAAAGTTGGGCAATTTTTTCACGTCTCATTTTAGCGGCACGTCTTTCTGACCGTGTAGCTCTGGCTACAGATCCTTCCTTCTCATATCGCTTCACAATCCGGTAGATAGTAGTCTTAGCCAAACCGGCAAACCTTGTGCTATAACATTTTTTGCTGTGAAGCTTTGCCAGTCGTCACGTTGGCTTTCCCAAATTTAAATAAACTGTACAACATACAAGCTGCAGTATAGTGTATACAGTATACCTCGAAAAGAGGTATACAGCGTGTGTCAAACTATTGACATACATGATCTCCTGATTCTACGACCCACAGTTCGAAATCAAACATTATTTTAATATTATGATCGTAACAATTGACCCATTCTGTACATGACCCAGTTTAAAAATGACGAATGGTATGGTCTTGTAGAACGCCTTAACACTAAAAAGTCAAAGCAGACAAACGTCGCAATGTCGCATTCTATGAAAAGATTCCCGCCTGGCTAAACTATGTAGTTATATGAAGTATTACTTACTTGGGTTACTTGGGTTGGGTTCCGAGCTAGAGTGCTACCAGGCCAAGAATGTCTTGCATCTCCACCGCCATGTAGTAGCGTGTCAGAGACACGTGCCACCGGCCCACTCCAGCATTGAGTTCCTGTTCTGTCCAGTGTACCCAGGTGTTGGTGGAGTGTCAGGGAATTCATTGAGGAAAGCATCAAGAGCGGGTTTGAAAGTGGTCAAGGTCAGGAGAGACTTGATGGCGGGAGGGACCACGTTGTACAGTGCAGAGGCTCTAGAGGCAAAGGAGTTGAACCTCAGGTTATTGACACTTGTGTACTTGGAGGACCCTAGTGGTCGTATACACGTAGTTCCGTATCGTGAGGTCTCGCGGAAGTTGATGTTCATGCTGTTTGGAGCGAGATTGTTATAGATCTTCCAAACTAGGATGATAGTGTATCTCTCACGCCGCCTTTGAAGGGAGTACATAGACAGGCGACGGAGGCGTTCCCAGTAGTTGAGATTTCCAAGACCCTGGATTTTAGCAGTGAAGGATCGTTGAACTGCTTCGAGTTTAATAATTTCGCACTGCATGTGAGGAGACCACAGAGGACAGCAGTATTCAAGATGAGATCGTACGTAGGACTTGTACAGGAGCATCATGGTCGCTACATCCCTGGAGATGAAGGTGCGTAGCACCCAACTAGCCATGTTTCTGGCTTTGGCAGACTTCATCGCTATGTGAGTGCGCCAGTTGAGGTCTGGGTCGATATAGACACCCAGGTCCTTCACGTGGTCAGAGCCCTTAAGAGTCTCTCCAGATGGTAAGATGTAGGGCTGCTTCAAGTCCGGTAGTTTGCCGTGTTGTAGAAGCTGGAACTTTTCCTCGTTAAGCTCCATGTTGTTAGCATCAGCCCAATTCACAACCGAGAGAAGATCTTCTTGGAGAAGGATGCGATCGATATGGGAAGATATATCTTTGTGGAGCTTCGAGTCATCTGCAAACACTTTGATCTTGCTGTGCTTGACTACGGAGAAGATGTCGTCAATGTAGATGAGGAAGAGAAGGGGACCTAGGACAGTACCCTGAGGAACCCCACTGATGACGTCGATGATCGTGGACATGACCCCATCCACGATAACATGCTGCTTTCTGCCAGTAAGAAAGCTGGCTATCCAGTCGTAGAGCTTACCACGGATACCAAAGGCCTGAATCTTCTTGAGGAGTATCTTGTGGTCAACCTTATCAAAGGCTTTGCTGAAGTCGAGGTAGAGCACGTCAGCATTTTTGTCGAGGTTGAGATCGCAGATTATATCCTCGATGTGATGGAGAAGCTGGGTGAGGCAGTTCTTGCCTTTTTGGAAACCGTGCTGATCAGGGTTGAACATGTTGTTGCGTTCAAGGAAGCTGACCATCTGGTTGCGCATGATGCGTTCACAGAGTTTGATGAGGTGAGAAGTCAGTGAAACCGGCCTGTAGTTAGCGGCTACAGCCTTGCTCCCCTTCTTGAAGATAGGGATGATACTCTGGGAGCGGAACATCTCAGCGATGTCCGAAGTATCAAAAGATAGCTGCCAGAGCTTGGCTATAGTGGGAGCTAGAGTAGTAGAGGCTCTTACGGGCATTGTCTGCTCGATACGTTAGGGACCCCAGATACACCTTACTAGACGTATTTTTGACCGTAGAATCGATTGAAAGTGGTTTCAAGATGATTGGACTGATTGTTCTGGGGTAAAATCGCAAAAAAACCGATTTTTGGGCCAAAAATAGGCCAAAAAACCATGTTTTTTGATATTTTGAAAGT